AAGAGGAACACCTACAAAATTCTAAATCGACAACAGATACCCAAGAAGCTTCATCCGCAGATGCCGACAAAACAAATGATAGAGGACACGGTACAACAGAAGACACTAGCAACACTACCCGAGATTAAAAATACTTCAGAAATGACTACCGGACTCCTAACATTGCATAAGATTCATGACCGCACACAAATCTACAGCAACACTGTGCCAAATGCTATCAAAGACTAAGGACCCCATACTGACAGTAAACAAGATTAACTTGATACACAGAATCCCATGCGGCGAGTGCAATAAACATTACATTGGACAAACAGGGAGGCAGCTGACAACCAGGATACACAAACACCAGCTGGCAGTAACGACATGACCAATATTCACTTGTCTCAATACACATGGAAAATGAGGGCCAGTTTGACCGAGACAAAGTGACCATACTGGGACAAGCGAACACCAGACATACAAGAGAATTTCTGGAAGCCTGGTTCTCAACACGGGATTCTATTAACAAACACAGAAATAGACCCCGTATACAGACCGCTGCTAAAACAACAGAACCGGAAGCGACAAGACTATCACACCAGAGGATCATATAAATTCAGAAGGAAGCAGAACACCAACGCTTTGATTAGAGGTCGCACTGATGATGTTGCCTAGAAAAGTAAGCAATGTCGGCACACCACAGAACAACCGGTTTGGTGAGCTAACGAACAACTGCATCCAAAACGCGAGCTACAAATTTTCACCAAGACCTTAAAAAGTGAGCAAAATAATGGCAAATGGAGTATGATGTGGTAAAATGTGAAGTTGTTCATTTTGGAAGGGAGAACTAAAGAACAGAGTCTTATTTAAATGGAGAAAATCTGTAGAAAGCTGCAAACTGAAGAGCCCTTGTGGAATTGTACATGAAATATAGAAAGCTAGCACAAAAGTGCAGCAGGAAGGCTAGAAACAGCTTGGAGACAGGAAGGATTGCCCAGTCCTGATGAAGGGTTTTGGCCTGAAAGGTTGACTTTGCTGCTCTTCTGATGCAGTCTGATCAGCTGTGCTTTTTCAGCTTCACATTTATTGAATTGAGGCTAGAAATGGCCCTTATTTCAAGAGGTTTGGAGTATATAAAAAAAAAAGAGTAAGGAAGTCTTACTACAACTGTACGCGGTGTCGCTAGTACCTTATCTGGAGTACCGAGCGCAGTTTTGGTCCCTTTATTTGAAGGGACGATATCATTTGAGGTAGTTCAGAGAAGGTTCATCCCTGGTATAGAAGGATTGTTTTAAGTATGATGAAACAGGTTGGGACTCTAGTCACCGCAGTTTAAGAATGAGACATTCCTCTTCAAGGTCCATGCCTCCAATTCTGTTTCTGTTTCTATCTCTCACCACAATATGAATTCCCACAGCACCAACACTGCTTCAATGAAAAACATCCTGTGACCAAATACACTGCACTCTCACCCAAGTGTTCACAGTATCTGTCAGTGTCCAGCTCCATGCTTATTGTCTATTCAAAAGTTGCTGGAGCACCACTAGTACTATTGTGTACTATCCTTCCTCATTACTTGCAAAATCCTTAAAAAAGTTATCCTCGGCCTTATATTTCATTAACACATATCTCGATCACCCACACTACATGGAAAAAAGTAACAATGTTACTATTTTGCAGTTTTACACCCTGACAAATATATCCCTCTAATTCACTCTTCAGTACCTTCAAGTTTACCATCACACATCCTAAAAGGGATTGCTTCTTATGCACAGCCACTGTGTTCCATGTGCAGCAAGTTCTGGGCTCCTATGCAATCACCAGCTTAGAGAACATGGGACCTACTGATTGTTTATAGCCTGCCTGGAGTTTACTTTTTATTTAAACTGGAATTTATGATTTCATAAATTTCTGGCAAACGCCTTCATCTTAATCTGAACGTTGACAATTTCAGAATGTTACTTGATCCAGAGCTAAGCTTTATGTGACGTAATGAGACTTACACCCTCAACAATAAGAAAAACACTGGCTTGGCAAAGTTTTTGGGCTTTAATATTAACCTTGATAAAAAGGGGTCAGGACTAAAAATTTAAAAAAAAAGTGTGCCAAACACAACCAACTTTTTCAAGAAGGCAGAACTACTACACAATGTTAAAAGGTTGGAAGATTGGCGAAGCCATTTTTAGAATACTGTGTACAATTTCTGGTCACCCTTCTATAGGAAGGATGTTGTTAAGCTTGAGGGTGCAGAAAAGAATTACAAGGATGTTTCTGGGATTGTTGGATTTGAGTTATAGAGAGGAGAGGCTGAATAGGCTGGGCTCTTGTCCCTGGGGCAGAGGCTGAGGGGTGACCTTACAGAGATTTATAAAATCACGAGGGGCATTGGTAGGGTGAATGGCCAAAATCTTTTTCCTAGGGTGACAGGCAGGCTAAAAGAGTCCAAAACTAAAGGGCTTAAGTTTAGGGAGCAGGGGAAGATTTAAAAAACAAAAAGGGACCAAGGGATAACCTTTTCATGCAGAGGGTGGTCTGCATATGGAACATGCTGCCAGAGGAAGTGGCTGGTACAATTGCAACATTTAAAAAAGGCATCCAAATAGGTATATGAATAGGAAGGGTTTAGAGGGATATGGGTGAAATGCTGGCAAATGGGACAAGGTCAGGTTGGGATGTCTGGTCTGCATGGACCGAAGGGTCGGTTTTTATGCCATGTGATTCTGACCTCTGCACCTAGCTTTGTTTTTCTTTTGGCCATTTTTAGCTTCATGTGCCCTGGCATGAATATCTCAGTCAAACAAATGAAAAGGCACAAAAATTCTCAATGCAAAATTCATTGTTGAACAGTAAAGAGTGGATTAGAAATAAATGAGGGCAACTCGGGTTAATGGCCGTGACAAGAGCCTTATTACTGGGCTGGAAAGGACATCAGGATTCTTATTCCAGAAAAAAACCTTAATATAAAATACAAAATAAACATTTATTTCCCCACAAAATACCATACTAGCATCCTGCATCTGTCATATTATCAAACCAAATGGCCATGTTCTACTGTAGATTATGTAGAGCACAAAAGATAATAGAAGGAAAAGTAACCATGGTTATCAATCAAGTCTGGAAATCCAGATTAGATCGTGTCTATACAAAAATGAAAAGCATGTTTTAATAATGCCAAGTACAGATTTTTAAATGTTTAGTTGCAGATATAGAAGTACTAGCATTACACTGTACTTACCACATCCAAGAGATTCTTAAGTTTCTGTTGAGCATTGTAAGTATATTACAGTCTTGCTTAATGTTCTTCAACAACAGCTAGTGTTAGACTGCTGATGACAATTCTTCAAAAACCCTTCCTGCACAAGAAGTCAGCAATGAAAGACTTACAAATGCAGAATTTCCCAATTTGGTGCATTCACAGTTTTACACAATGTGCAATGAGGTTCCATATGTGGTTACTGAAAATGAAATATACTTTCAAAGAAAAAAAAACAACACATCCAAAAGGAAAACAGCATGGAAAAAGGGAAGCAAAAGCTAAATAGAAAGGGAGGGTTCGCAAGTTTAGGGGGTTGTAGATTTTGTATTTAATGGTTTGGAGTGTTAAAGCAATAAACACAAAACAACTTAATGCAGGGTAGGTACAGGCATCTGAGCTTTTATCAGGTTGCTAGCACCAACAACGTAGAAATGGAGTCTGTGAAAGGCTAGAAATACTGATCATTATAGGATGTGCAGTTTGAGACTGAACTATGGTTAAAGTGCATGCCTTGACTTTAAGAACATAAAAACAACTGAGCACAGTAACAGACCCTTCAATCCACCATGTCTGTGCCAACTATGATGCTATTCTAAAACTAATGCCATCTGTCCACAGATGGTCTTTATTGCTCTACTGCCTGCCTGATCGATCATGTCTGTTCAAATGCCTCTTAAACATTGCTATCACCACCATCTAAAAAACCTCCCCCATATATTTCCTTTAACCTTTCCCCCTCTTACCCTAAACCTATGCCACCAAGTAACTGACTTTTCCAGTCGGGGCGGGTGGGGAGAAAAAGAAGGGAAAGAGAAGTCCAACGTTCTACTCTAGCCATGCCTCCCAATTTTATGGACTTCTGTCAGGTTACTCCTCAGCCTCTTAAGGCTCCAGCAAAAACAATCCAAGTTTGTCCACTCTGTCCTTCTGACTAATACACTCCAATACAGGCAACACCCTGGTAAACTTCTTGTGACTTATCTTCTGGACCAGCCTACCATGAGGCACCTGACCAAATGCTTGACTAAAGTCTACGTAGACAACATCCAAATCCCCACCCTCAAGTCATGGCAAATTTAGCTTGAGGAAAGAGCAATAGAACAGTCAAGTGTAGTCAGTTCCAGTCAATTGTAACAGGTTGATGTCAAAATAAATATACAATGGTTTCACCAAATAATTGCCAAGTACACCAAAAAAAAAAAAAAAAACTGCAGATGTTGGAATCCAAGGTAGACAAACAGGAGGCTGGAAGAACACAGCAAGCCAGGCAGCATCTGGAGGAAAGGAGCGGTCAATGTTTCTTGTCTTACCCTTCTTCAGGACTGGAGAAGGGTAATACCTGAAACATTGACTACTCCTTTCCTCCAGATGCTGCCTGGCCTGCTGCTTTCTTCCAGCCTCTTAATTGCCAAGTTGAAACAGGCAACTTCACACAGCCCTCCTTTGCATATTTGGAGTTAATTCTAATAAATTGAAATTGCCAAATAGAAATGGAACTTTGCAGCTATTGGCTGTACCCAACTAAACAACGCCAACTTTAGATGAATTCCGGTCACAGAATCTAGACAACACAGTCACAAGGCTATTATTTACTGAAACAGTTTTAAAAATTGTCAAAAACATTTGTGTAGTGAATAACTAAATCTTAAAACAAGCAAGTGACTTCAATCAAAGTGTGTATGGTGATCCAACATACAAGTACTGAAACTATTCAACAAAAATCAGTGTATGTGCAAAGTTGTTAAATAGTCTTAGGACTCGTGACTGCAAATTACATCTTTATTGAATATTTCCACAGTGTTACAAAAACAGTTCAAAAAAGCCAATCAAAAATACATTATGTACAAAAAGATCCGGTGTGGGCAAAAATGTTGCCGGCCATCTGAATGTCTGTTAACTAGCTCTGAGCTTCTGGTTCAGACTTCTTCGAGGAAACAGATTCTTCAGACTGAAAAAAAAATTAAACATTATGTTTCTGAATAGAAGACAAAATCTTGCCAATTAAGATTTCTTACACTAAAATAAACAGTGGAATAACCAGTTTAAAATACACAGCTTATTAATAGCATTAAATTATGCAGTAACAGATCCTGTTCCAAACTTGCTTTTTGTGCTAAAATCTATAATGTTTGAGGTTATATTTAAAAGTTCAACTTTAAACAGTTAACTTTTACTGCTCACTACAAACTGAAGGGAGAACCAAATTTGAAACACTAACATCTACCTGAAATCCAAACTACTGGCTAGAACGATTTCAAGAGTTACACATCATTGCATGTACCAGGCCCATTTTAGTAAAACAAACTATATCCAGGCAAAATAAAAAACCAAAACAACTGCGGATGCTGTAAATCAGGAACAAAGACAAAGTTGGTGGAAAAGCTCAGCAGGTCTGGCAGCATCTGAAGGAAAAAAAATGTGAACGTTTCGGGTCCGGACCCAGTACACGCAACGACGCGTAACTGATGAAAATCGTTCGGGTTCTGAGGAAGGGTCACTGGACCCGAAACACTAACTCTGTTTTTCCCTTCACAGATGCTGCCAGACCTGCTGAGCTTTTCCAGCAACTTTGTTTTTGTTCCGTATATACAGGCAAAACACCGATGCTGGAAAGGTTTGTCTCTGCAGATGCTGCTAGACCCGAGTAGTTCCAGCACTTTAATCTTTACACAAGTACTTTCTAAACTAGTGGTAAACATCTAACTTGTCAATATATTGGCAACAAGTCAAACTAAATTTGCTTCTCCAATAACTAATTCAAGATAGATTGTATCTAGTGTATTAACTGGTGGTATTCTACATTTACCTAACATTTGAACTGAATTTGGCTCTAAATTGTACAAGTCATATCAAAATATACATTAAGCATTAGTATATACTGGTTACAAATGAAATTTTAGATTGCAGTGAATAAATGCTTGGTAGTACAGAACTTAAACACTGCTTAAGAAAAAAAAAAGAAAAAAAAGAAAGACTAGAAGTTGAAAATCTCTCACACTCAGACTTAGGATGCAAAAAAATTGACTTTGACACCATGGTATACAGCATGAAAAGACGATGCTGATTGCTTGGCCCCAACATTCACATGGAGATGCAGCATGAGCAGTTAGTTGCCTCTCTCAATTTTCAGAACAGGCAAGGTTGCTGCATTTCCACGGCACCTTTCTGACCAGAGTTGGGCTGTCCGCACTGCACCCTTTTCAAAAAAAAGGCTAGATGTACATGCAAATTCTTTTTCCTACAAACAGGGTCCTGAGTATTTGCGCAAGTGTAGCTTCCATCAGCCAGGCTCAGTGTGATGAGCTAATCTGAAGTTGGTTTCTGATGAAACCTTAACAGTCTGAATTATGTTATGAGTTCCACAGTAACAGAATCACATCTGATGGCGTATACACATTTGAAGTTTGCAAGCACGGGTTGGTTCACCGTGGGTGAAAGACTGCCAGCTATGAATGGGACATGTTGCTTGATACAGTCTGCCATTACTGTGCCTACATATGTGACACCACACAAGCAGTGGAGCTCAAATTACCCATTTGTGATACAGGGGAAACATCTTTTTGGCTCAATCTATTGGTAATCCTATGAACAGAGGCCTAGCTATCTGCTCACTGTGTAAATTGATGGAGAGTGAGCACATTAAAACTACCCTGTTGGTGGTGTTATCAAGACTCTGAAGTGTTGGCAAAATGGAGGTTTTGTTAAAAAGGTTTTAATTTAAAATATCTACTTAATTCCAAGATAGAAAAAGGAAAAAAAAAAAGTTGGTTGAGAAGATAGTTAACCAATATCGCAACCTAGATACAAGGCCCACGTGAATCATGTTGCCATGGAGACAGGTTCTGAGGAGGGCAGGAACTAGACAATTAGCCTCTATTATTGATCACAGAATGCAGCTGGGAACTTGACCTCTTAAGACAGTATGTTTGAGTGTATTTAAACAAGGCTGGAAGATTCCCCTGGCTCTGGGTATAGGAAAAAATCTCCAGGATAACTCACAATGTGAAAGTTGTTATGGCGCTTAGGAATTTGCCAGCTGAGAAAGGGAAAAGGAAGAAGAAGTGAGACATTGAGAAAGGGGAATACATTTGGACTGGTCCACGAGGAATCATGTTTGCATATGAAACAAAGTTTAACTGTGTAGGAGGACTTCTGGACATTTTTACAAAGTTAACTGGGAAAACATTTCTGCAGCTTTGAATAATTTGCCTACCTAAAATAATATTTTGTCAGACTTGTATGTTACAATAAGTCTTAAAACTTGAAATCCTGTCCATGAGCCTTTCAGCCATTGAAAGTTTGAATTTCTTTTAAAACTGTTATCAAATTCAACAGGGATCATAAAATGAACTTACTTCCATTTTCTCAGGAACTCCATTCCTATCATGAGCAGTATCTCCACATCCACCATTCACAGCAGACTCCTCCTGCTTGGCTTTTTTAGGCTCTTTATTATCCCTCTCACCATCTTCAGGTTTCCTCTGCAATGAAGACTTTAAAAGTTTAAATACTTTTTACACTTCAGCATAATACGTACATCAATATTTCAACAATAATCACGATTAGAAATTTGCATAAAAGCTAAAACTAGAAATCAAAATGTTGTAGTAGTCAACTTAGTTTCTTCTTGCATGTCTCCTACTTGCAAAACCTCCTTGAGGCCAGCAAAATGTAAGCAAAGTGACAAAAGGCTACAACCATCGTATTGACAAGTCAAAGTCAGTGAGCAGTTTCATTCATGGGTAAAAGATGAAGCTCTGGCAAAGTAGGAGCCTGCGACAGCAGGAGTGTGGAAAAAACCTTTTACATTAAAGAGGTCTTCCACCTCTTCACTGATAAAGCTTAAGTGAATAGCATGTCCTACTCAATAAGGCATTGAGTTAATTGGTCCCTAATAACATCCAAACTAGCTTATATTAAGATGCGCACCCAAGACAAATGCTTCAGCAATCTAAAGTGAATGCAGATTTCATTTATTTTTGCTGTAATTTAAACTGGATGGGCATACTATGCTCACCGGGTAGGAAGAGATCATCTGAAAAAAACAAACACTTACTTTTTTCCTTACTAAATGACTGATGTTAGATACACAGTTTGAGCTGGAGGTAGAAGCTTCACCCATTACTTTTCCAGTCTGTACCTACAATTTAGAAGCATTATGAGACAGAAAATGAAATTATAATGGAGGCCACCTCATTGAAGTAAAAAATCTGAATGCAAAGCTGTCTGCCTAAAGAGATAAGTGTTACATCTGGTAGGCACATTTCGCAAATACTTACAGCTAATGTTGGTGCACTGCTTGCAAGACTGTGGGTTTCAAACCCTGAAAAGGCAGGTGGTCTGGACTGTAGAAAGAAAAGGAAGGAGTAACTTATACTATTATAATGCTTTGATACCCAAAAATGACGAGAGGTAATGGTGGGGCTTGCATAGAAGCTGGATATACAGCCAATACTATAGTAATTGCATTCTTACCTTCAGAGAACTTGCAAACTAGGAAGTTAAACGGAAAATGAATTGATGTGAAGGATCACAATTCAAGTCACCCCTACTTTAAAAGGGAAGAAACTGAATGGGATAGAAGAGCAGAGAAATCCAAAGTTTCAAGTAAACAAATAATTAAAAGCAGCATTAGACTTTAGCAAAAAAAAAAGTTTGTAACAAGATGTTGATGAGGCCACAATCACTGCTTTTTTTCTCGTACCATACTGGCGGGGGGTGGCAGGTGACAGAAGACAGCTACTTGAGAAAGCACAACTAGATCAGCAGGCAGCAGGATGGGTACCAGAACAGAAAATTACTGTTCTGAGGAAGGGTCACTGGATCCGAAACTCTCTTTTCTCCTTCACAGATGCTGCCAGACCTGCTGAGCTTTTCCAGCAACTTTGTTTTTGTTTCAGAAAATTACTGTTATGGCAAAGAGACAAACAGGTTGTGAACTTTTTTCTCCAGACATGAGCGATAAAGTGGAGATCCGATGGAAGTCTTTCAAATTAGGAATGCACTTGAACATAGCAGATGTGGTTAAAATGCCTTTTTCTTGGGGGAGGGGACAGCAAGGATGAGGATCAGGAGGGGAGTGTCTGGGGACAGAAGACGAGAAATCCAAAAGGGTCATAAATATGATAATCCATTTGTCAGTAGATACCACAGCAAGTAGACAGCATAACACATACCAGTGCCTCTAAAGTGAATCTTGATAAATGGAATTAGAAATATGGTGATAGCTTCAACTACAGACTAGGACAGTATTAACACCAGCAGACTCTTGTCAAGTCACCACTTTGAGCCACACAGTCCATGTAATTTACTGCATTGATAGAGGATCAAGAACAAATACCACTTTCTTTGAAGAAATTTCTACAAGCGGTATATTGACCCTTTATTGCCCCTCAGTACAGGCACACTTTTCACAGGTTCCAAATCATGCAATCGAGCGATCAGTTGTCTATGAATTTTCTATTCAATGTGTACTGACCAATGTTTCCTGAAGGGCTTTATTTGCACTTCCATCATCCTTGGATTCTTCTGAATCTTCAATTTTTGCTTTTATCTCTGGCAACAGCTCTTTAAGTTCCTCAACCTCCCGCTTATCTTCAGAAACAGCATCAGTGTCTTTTGCTGGAGATTTGCCTTTCTCTTCTGCTTTCTCAATTCTCTCTGTTAACATGGCTGCAGATAAAGCATAAGTTAGTTTTAATTACAAATCTAATAAATTTTCCTCCAAAAAACTTACCAAATGGCTAGAAGCTTAAAGCAGCCATTAAGGATTAATTGCAATACAAAAGTGGGAATTGGAGTGGGCAGAGACGGAAGAGAGACAGCAAAAACAAGTCTCTTGGGTTTGGATAGGGCAGACATCAGGAATTTTATACAATTTAATTAATTTAGATCACTTCTCATTCTTCAGTTTTCCACAGATTATAGGCCCATTCCACTCTATCATCCCCAAGAGGACAATTTGCTTATCTTGGAAATCAAGTCTAATAAACATTCACCTCCATCCTTTCTTATGCAAAGGCACCAAAACCATATATAGTACGCTGGATTAAGGTCCAAAAATTCTACAAGTATGAGGTAGCCTTGCTGCAGCTATAAAGTTTATTTCGAGGGCTGAAGTACAACACACTATTTGCTATCATCACCTCAAGAAAAAAATATGGTTTTCCCCCATTTGCTCTCTTAGGGGGAAAATGTCATTCATACCACATTATGCTCCACCTTCTTGTATACTTTTATCTCTCTCTGCATTCTCTGCCTAGCTCTTTCTCAGTCAGTTGGTCCCCTCATCCAAGTCACTGGAATATAATACAAGGCTGAAGGCCAAGCAATGATTCTTACGCTATTCTACTAGTTATGTTCCACTATTTCAAAAACTACCAGTTTATTCCTGCTCCTCCTTTCCATGTGACCCTTTCCTCAAATCATGGTAATATATTGCTCCCAATCCCACATACATCAAAAGACAAATTTAAAAAAAGATTTGAGCAAAATTCCAATGTTGAGCTTGAACTTATTTCATAAACCAAGTCCGAGAAGGCTAATTAAAAGTCAAAGACTAAAACTTGAAAACCAACCTTGGTCAAGTTCAGGTTTTAAATAAAAAGTAGGAGGAGAGGAGACACACTATAGAACAGACAATTTGTACCACAATTCTGGTTTGTAAGTATGAATAGAGAGAATTCAATGCATGTTCTTTGAAAGCTATTTATTAAGCCTACCTCCTGTTTCCTTAGCTCTGCAAGTATTCCTTTTACACTATTAGCTACTTACTATTTGAAGGTTACTGTTGAATCTACTTCTATCACCCATTCAAGCAGCATATTCCAAATAACTCAGCATGAAAGTCAACTCTTCCTTTGGTTCTGCAACCAATTTTGTGTTCTCCAGTTAAATGATTAAACTCTTCGTTCTTCCTAGCCACGTATCAGAACCTCTGTTTTGACCCCAAATCTCCCTTCAACCTGTTGTGTGTTCTAATCTCGCCACATTAGTTCTTTCACCACTGGCATCATTCCAGGAAATCTGGACCTTTTTCATGGTCTTGACATCTACATTGATGTGCGACACCTAGAACTGGACACCTGAGAACCGCTCTGTCTCCATCTCTGGCAACCACCTAGAAACCGATATCCATTTCAAGCCCACTGACTCCCACAGCTACCTAGAATACACCTCCTCCCACCCACCTTCTTGCAAAAATGCCATCCCCTACTCCCAATTTCTTCGCCTCCGCCACATCTGCTTCCAGGATGAGGCATTCCACTCCCGCACATCTCAGATGTCCTCGTTTTTCAAGGACTGCAACTTCCCCCACCTCAGTGGTCGAAAACGCCCTCCACCGTGTCTCCCGCATCTCATCCCTCACACCCCGTCCCCGCGATAACAAACAAAAAAAAGAATCCCCTCGTCCTCACGTACCACCCCACCAACCTCTGGATCCAACGCATCATCCTCAGACACTTCCACCATCTGCAATCCGACCCCACCACCAAAGACATTTTTCCCTCCCCACCCTTATCTGCTTTCCGGAGGGACCACTCTCTCCATGACTCACTTGTCCGCTCCACACTCCCCTCCAGCCCCACCACACCCGGCACTTTTCCCTGCAACCGCAGGAAGTGCTACACCTGCCCTCACACACACCTCCTCCCTCACCCCCCATCCCAGGCCCCAAGAAGACTTTCCACATCAAGCAGATGTTCACCTGCACATCTGCTAATGTGGTATACTGCATCCCGTGTACCCGTTGTGGCCTCCTCTACATCGGGGAAACCAAGCGGAGGCTCGGGGACCGCTTTGCAGAACACCTACGCTCGGTTCGCAATAAACAACTGCACCTCCCAGTCGCGAACCATTTCAACTCCCCCTCCAGTTCCTCAGACGACATGTCCATCCTGGACCTCCTGCAGTGCCACACCGATGCCACCCGAAGGTTGCAGGAACAGCAACTCATATTCCACTTGGGAACCTTGCAGCCCAATGGTATCAATGTGGATTTCACAAGCTTCAAAATCTCCCCTCCCCCTACCGCATCCCAAAACCTGCCCAGCTCGTCCCTGCCTCCCTAACCTGTTCTTCCTCCCACCTCAAGCCACACCCCCATTTCCTACCTACTAATTTCATCCCGCCCCCTTGACCTATCCATCCTCCCTGGACTGACATATCTCCTCCCTACCTACACTCACCTTTACTGGCTCCATCCCCGCCTCTTTGACCTGTCCGTTTCCTCTCCACCTATCTTCTCCTCTATCCATCTTCTATCCGCTTCCCCCTCTCTCCCTATTTATTTCAGAACCCAAAACGTCAGCCTTCCTGCTCCTCTGATGCTGCTTGGCCTGCTGTGTTCATCCAGCTCTACACCTTGTTATCTCAGATTCTCCAGCATCTGCAGTTCTTACTATCTCGGAGAACAAACTAGTGTTTTACAAAAATATTGCATTTCCACCCAATGAGCACTCTATAAATCTAGGAATTCCATATATTTTAAACAGCTTTATCAAAATTGCCCTGCCACTTTAAAGATTTATGCATATATGAATAGTCAGATCTATATTCCCCCCCCAATGGATATTATGTTCCATGTACATTACTTCATTTGTCTTCCCAAACAGAAAAATTTGAAAGAGCCTCCATTTCTGCTGGTTAGGATTCCCCGTCCATGTTGAATAGAGGCTATTGAATACAAATTCAGTAAATTCAAATCATGTTCATTCGTAAAGCAACAGAGCTTAGACTCATTTGGGAATAACATCCAAGATGGTCGCTACTATAGTACCAGCTTGTTTTACAGTTTCAAAACTAAACTTCATCTCCTTACCTAACCTTTTCTCGATGACATTAAAGGATTCCTTGAAATGTTTTAGTGAGAAATCATATTGATTATTCAAACTGTAAGCCAGCCCCAACTGATAATGGGTCTCTGCCAATAGTCGGTTATGTGCCTCGAGGTGTTTTTCCTGAATGGTCAGACATTCGTGGAAATCTTCAATAGCCTGAATGTAATTCTCTGGAATTGAACAAGATTGCATTAATCTGACATCAATGTCACATGGATAAATTCAAGTTTTAGTTTCTATTATTGAAATTTTGACAAAACAATTGAGCTACAAGATATAAGTGTATTTGCTCTACTGTACAGTGGATATGTTGAAAAAAAAAATCAGTTTTGACATCTTACCAGATTCTATTCCAACTTCTCCCAGTTTCAGATAAGCCTGTGCTGCACAGAGTTGTATTTCTTTGCTTTCCTGCCTAGAGAGTAAACAAATGGAGCTGAACTTTTGATACACAATTGATTAATGTATAAAACCATGACAATTATAAAAAGGTTAACATTGACTTATTTGAGTACTTGCCTTTTGAAGATCACTTTTGCCAATTCAAGCATTTCCCAGGCCAGCTGCAAATTATCAACCTCTTCACTTTCAGCATCCTGCAATGAATAGTTTGCATTTTAAATCTCAAGTTCAAAATTAAGCTGGTGTTGAAGACAAGCTTTAAAGAATAGATAAAGCTACCTTTCCTTCACCAGTCTCTTCATTTTCATCGTCATCACCACTTGCATCAGCAGCACCAGAGGCATCTCGAAAGACAAAAGAAAATAAACATGTCGAACTAAAATGAGTTATTTATACAGAAGTGTAATATCAACAGTCGTTCTGTAAAAGACTACATCAATCTTATATGCTGCTCCAGTGTTTCATTTTAGCAATGCCAACTATCTTTATCAACCACAGATTTAGGGTCCTGTAGTGAGCATGTTAATTGCTGAATTATTGGCAACGGACACTACAGCTACACTTCCTGGGAATACAACTCAATTCTAGATCTAAAGCTTAATTTTCTAAATACTACCAGTCATTAGAATTTAACTGTTGAAACAACTGTAGATTTAAAATAGGGAAGTATCCACTGTATCCTACAGAGGTCTGAAAGCCATCCAGGTTAGCGGCTAATCGAGAGTCACTAGAGTAGTCGACTGGAAAACCAATGCAGACAGCTTTCTAACAATCCGAACACCAAAGCTTCAGTTAGTCTACTCTACCCTCCTTGACGGGTTGCACAATACAACTGCATTAGAAGTCAACAGTAAATCAGTGTAAACATAACCCAAATTTGGGCTTAATATCCAAGAACAGAATAAAGAACAAAATTCCTCGAGATGGGAGTCTTACTCTATTTTAGAGTTTGGCTATTCACCTGAACAGGTATTAATGCAAAGTTTAAATCTTTTTGAATTACCTTCCATTATTACTGTAATGGAGTTTATTTCTCAGCACTGCAGTACACCAACGTAGTGCCAAAATTAATGTCCTGCGTTTTAAAACAGCCATGTATAAAGAATTTTAAACCCAGTGGCAAAGTATAAAACTTGTAAGATAGCTTTATCCCCAGTGATTAGTGCAAGTTTAGAAAAACCACCATTTTCTCCTTTTCTGTGCTGAAATGAAAGTGAGTAGACAGATTTACCAAGTGGTTATAGAGACCAATCAGGTAGAAATCCATTAAAAAAAATGTTAAGAGTGTCAGTGTAGACAGTTTGCAATTTAGTTCCATTGATTTGTTATTAAACCAACTTTGTAAATCTGAACACTTGTCCTTGATTTAATACCTGCACCCTCTTCCATTGGTTCTGAAGAACCAGTTGTCCCATCCTCCGTCTTCTGACCTGGGATTTCACTTTCAATTGATTTTGTCTCATTTTCTTCACTTTCACCAACTCTCAGCTTTTCTCGAGCTGCTGCCTCTTCAGCATTTGATTTCACATCTCTATCCACTAGAGAATCCTGTGGAAGGAGGGTTAGCTTATCTTCCAGTTTTACTTCAACTACTTCCATTGTCTCATCAGCAGTCACCTTCATCCCAGCATCCTCCATCATAGGGAAATCTTTTGCAGCCATCTCCTCGCCAGCACTGTCCTTAACATCTTCTGGAATGCTCACTTGGTCCTTTGTTTTCCCTTCCGGAATACCACCACCATTGCCTGGAGAGAAATCTGCTGTTTTAACCATTTGTTCATTTAGGACATCATCCTTGTCAATGGATGCTTCTATTTTAGGCAGTACTTCACTCTTGGTGGTAGAGAGCTCTCCTGCAAAGCTTGTCATCTCTTCACCAGGATGATCAGTATGGCCTTCTGTTTCTTTGTGAACTACATCCTGATCAGCAGAAACATTTGCAGTTGGTGCTTCATCTTCTGCTGGCTTATTCTTTTCTTCAGCTAGTGCTGCATACACCTGCTCCCTCAATTCCTCCCTCTCTTTTTCTATACACATCAAGGAGAAAGAAATACATAAAATTGGAGTTCCCAATGGTGGCTGATAAATCTGGATATAGTCAATTTAAAAAGGTCAAGAAAACAGGGATAAATAGCAGCAGGTAAATTTTAGGTTTAGTCAACAGCAGAGATTAGTGTAGATACTGGTAAATCATTAACTCATTTTCCTGCCTCCATTTTGCTCTTGGTTTCTTAGGTCATTTAGCACATTCTGGCTCTAAGGCTACCAACATCCGCTCACCAAATCAGGTCAGAATTTGCTTTTAAACAACTGGAATGATTTGCATCCCAAACCATATCGATGCAATATTTCTGTTCATTTCTCAGGAAACCTATTTCATCAATAATAGGTCATGATACCAAGTGCAACTATGAAGGTTGGAGAGAAACAAACAGTAAAGTCAAAATGTTACCCACAAACACTTCTGTAGGTGAATAAAATCAGCCTTCCATTAACAATTTATGGAATGTAGATTAATTCAAATATTAATTTCATCAAGAACATTTGCAGGTCCTCAATTTTTTTTGTTTACAAAGCTGGCATTGATAGCCAGAAAACTATTTGAACTAAATTTCTACTTGACAACGGCCCAACACAAAGATGTGGCGATGCCATTTTTGGACTAGGGTTGACAAAGTCAGAAGTCACACGACGCCAGGTTATAGTCCAACGGACTTGTTTGAAGTCACAAGCTTTCAAAGCACTGCCCCTTCATCACTTCTGACTTCGTCCAACACAAAGATTTTTACATTGATGTATATAAAAGCCAACTTTTGCTCTTTTCTACAGTGGCAGATATCACCAGATTAAATTTGCCACTATGCAATGAAAACTACTGAGGAAAAGAAATAAATAATACACTGTGATTAACCAAATTAAACCACCCAAGTAATTGGTATTTCAAAGGTTTGCATATGCTTGCAAGAGAGTTTAGTGGTCCATCTACGTAGAGACAATTGCCTCTTTCTTTCCCCCTTCCCTCTCTGCTCCAGACAGGGATAGGAATACGTGCTCCTCCAAAAGACTGGTTGGAACAAGAACGTTAGATATAGGTCTACATAAGCTCTGCAATTAAGACCAGATTAAGTATTAATACAAAACTATCTTTTAAGTAGAAGACACTCACCATCTACATTCTCTGCATTTTCTACTTTGGAGTCCTCATCTGCTGCTGCTGTTTCTTCATCGTCATCTTCAGGAACTCCTTGAAGAGCATTACCAAGAACGCCACGCTCCATTCTGAGATATAAGAAAGTACGATGGTCATGCTCCTCTATCAAACACCCGCAATCCAAAATTGAAGTACCCAGTTACTACAACTGAGAGAGGACAACTGGTGCTCTGCAAGTTTAAGTTTAAGTTTTAATGAAGTGAAAGGTACGATCAAACTTCTAGCTGGCAAACAAACACACAACAGAAATGGTTGGTCTTAAACTTGGCCATTAATCAAATGCTAACCTTAAAAAAAAAAAGGTCAGGGCCTAAAATCCACAAGAATCTAATCAATTAGTACAGACAAAGAAATTGTATTTTTAAAAGAATAAGTACCTGGAGGCTAAAGACACAAGAAATCAGAAAATTACATGCTACAATGGCTGCAAGAATATTGTAACAAAGGACATTGATCTATTTTAAGTATTCCATCACTTATGTCCTTCAGGGAAGGAAATCTGCCATCCTTATCTGGTCTGGTCTACATGCGACTTCGGACTCTCAACTGCCCACTGAAACAGCCTAGCAAGCCTCTCAGTTCAAGAGCAGCCAGTCAGCCAATAATGCCTACGTCCCACAAGTGACTGAAAAAAAAATAGCTACTTAGTCTATTCTTGTTCATCTGCCTTATAAACTAACCTTGCTAACTCCAGAAGGGCTTTTCCATAGCAGAAATAGGCTTCTCCACATTCATCAGCCATTTCTCCATGTCTTTCACTCCTTTAAATCAAAAGAACAGATCAAGATTTTGTATGGCCATACTGTTACAGTTGTACCAACTATATTACAGAGATTTAAAAAAAAAAGACAAAACAAAGACATTGCCATATTAAGCTATCCATGTAGTTTAACTTTGAAAAATTGAAGCATCTACAAATGAATATTCCCCATCATGCTGACTTCTGAACATGACCATTTCCAGAGCAACTGGTATCCCCTACAAACTTCACATTCTCCAACAGTCCATGACAAAAATACTTACAATAGCCTGCATGCATCTTGAAAGGTATTGACTGCTGCTACAAAGTCTTCCATCACCATGTGTCTTTTGCCAGTTCCAAGTAACTTTGTGGCTTCAACACTGACATCAGCACTGTTAGAAGTAAGCATTTCATAAATGAATACGGGATAAACTTTTATTAAAAAAAAACCCAGGTTGTCACAAAAATTTCCCCAATTTAAAACAAAACTTACTGATTAATTATAAAATTCAAAGTAACAGGAAAATATGTCAGTAAAGTTTAAACTATGGTTGCCAGAAGATTCCAGATGAAGTGTGACTGCCTTCACTGTAATGCAGCTAACTATTCAAAAATCAATTATGCCAAATGGAATTATGCCACTGCTACCAATCTAATGAAGAGTCCTATAAAAAGCTGCAAATGGCTTTTTGCTGCAATTTCCATGTGTGAAAACTTCATGTCTGAAAATGACAAAAAGTGCTGCAAGGTGCAACTTGCTAAAAAGCTAGGTTTTGGTTCTGATTAAAGCATCCGAGTTCATGTTAACTTTCATACAATGGTTCCCCATAAAAACAAAACCGGTTTGATTCAGAAATCCTGTTCCAAAGTTGGAAAAGAGCACTTAAAGGAGCATCTCCCAACTGTTTGATGAACTTATTCCATTCTAAACTTAACATCTTGTTCAGTTTTGTACAGCAAGCATAACCTGCTTGAATGAATTTAGCCAAGATATTTTCTGTAGTGCTCTAATGTCATCTTTCATCTTGAAAAATGACAGGACAGAGACTCACACAAGTGAATAAACCTCAATTGTTGTATGTTGCTTAACTGCAAAACTTGATCACCAAAAGCAAACCAATATTTTTCCATCAAATTCTTAGGGCTGTGGGGATACAGCCTACTTGGCTTCAAATAGCTAGATGGATCAACCAATGACTAGCTAGTGTTCCAAGGCCACGCTGGGCCAACAAACGATCAGAAAAAAAAAAAGTGTCATAAACTGCAGCTATACTAGTCTGAAATTGCCCAATCTCAAGTGAGGCAGACTCAGGCCTGGTTAGTACTTGGATGGGAGATCACCTGGGAATACCAGGTGCAGTAGGCTTCAGGGCTTCTCATTGTGCAGTGGTTGTGTCCCTACCCCTGGACCAGGAGGACGGTTTCAAGTCCCACCTGCTCCAGAGGTGGCATAACAACATTTCTGAACAGGCCAATTAGAAAAATAGGTTACATTAAAAAAATTCATTGGCTACAACTATTACGAAGTGAACTAATTACATCTGGGTCATTTATCTAGTACCATATCCAGCAGCACATTGAACCATTACCTTTAGATTATAATAAATACATACACTGAAAAATCCAGTACACCAACCAATCACAGCATGAAACTCGAATCTTCTTTGCCAGTAAGAACCATTTGGATCATAGAAGGTAGTGCTATCTGAACACTTGCTACCATCAATTCATTCACGTCAGATTGCGGCTAGACAATAGATCAGGCTAGACAATAGATCAGGCTAGACAATAG